CCATCCATCCATCCATCCATGCACCACCTAATCCTCACTAGGGTATAAATAACTTGTATTAAAAACAAATGAAGTCAGATTCTGTCTGAGTGTTGAAACTCTTGAATAAACAAGAACTTTGGGTTTCGTTTCTACACCAAACTGTTTAACAGCTTCATCCTGAACTCTTCCTCATCCAGCACCGACTGTTATTCCTCCAGACTTTCATTCCCAATCTGTCTGTTTCAGTTTTTTCTCTGTTTTCTTAATTACTTCCATCCACTTCTCCTTTTTTAAAGTTGTTTCCCTCCTTCACTCACCTTCTCAGCTGCCTTCACATAAAACCCAAAGACAACATTCCTGCTTCAGCTTTCTGCCGGTGCTGTCTGCTGAGCCAGTGCTTGTGTGTGACCCTCGTGACATATTGATGTGCGTCACCGGAGACTTATTGACTTCCTCAGACTCGTCCTGCGGGTCAGCTGACCTCAACAGGCCGGCCCTCATTGGCTGATAAGTCGAGGCCACTCTTGGCTGAAAAGTCAAGTGACAAATGGACTCCCTGCGTTAAACACAAACACTATTTGCACACGCGTCTAATTTCTGGTCATGCATCCTGCGTGAACTCTCCGTGGAGCAGACGCTGCATCACGTCTTTATTTCCAGCTTCTCCATTCTCCCTCAGAACACGAATCATCTGAAGCACGCTCATGATCATCAGTTGACCTGACTAGCTCCTTTGTTGCAGCCGTATCTGTTATGAAGGTAGCCTTGGCAATGTGGACTAAATACTCGCACCGCGCAGCGAGGAGCAGCAAACCCATTCACCCAGCTATTGTTACGCTGTTTGTGAGTCAAGAAGGTGAATTTCTCACAGGTGTGCTCATCTTCTACTGCTGCACCTTTGACCTCAGGGTGAGCAACGGCTACTGCAAAAAACCACAGCTCACATCCAGAAACACACAACAGATCTCATTCTAATGTCACAAGCAGGCAACCAACTAGCAATAAAACCAGATATCCATGTCACACTGAAATTACAGCATCAGAGAACAGAAAAAAGTCGGTAACAGCATCAAAACTTGAAGGCAGAAAAGCAGAAATAATGCAGCAGGAGGTGAAGTAGTAGAGAGGAAAGTTCAGGAGAAGAACCTGAAGTTGATCAATATTCACTTTGTGAGAACACAGAGGAGCAAACTGGGTCCGACCCGACAGAACAGAACACAGAGAGCCGGAGCAGGCCTCGGCCAAGACGTGGAGACGTAAAGATAAAATGCATACTCACCCAGCTGACTGCGCCTCTGAGCGTAGGCTACCACCACGGCGGCCAGAACCACACAGCACAGCGATGTCACAAGGTTGGCCATCTGTAGACACACACACAGCAAAGTCATCAGCGCGTGGCAGAGCCGGCCAGGAAGTGCGTCCGCCTGTCGTCCTGATTGACTGACAGACCCATAGACGCCTACAACACCATGGAGGAGATGGAGAGATAGCGCTTCCTGTCTTCTCCCTGCCTCTCAGGGCTACAGGCACTGAAGTGGCCCTTTTGCTTTTCTCTTTCTTTCTCGCTCGTGGAAAAGAAGAAAAACAACCTCCCTTATTTCTTCCTTTACTTCTGTCACTGTAGCAATCCTTTTTTCACAGTCTTCTCTTTCTGTGCATCTGTCTCCCTCTCTCTCTCCTTCTCCCTCTTTCGTTCTGTTCATCAGCCTAATGGGTCCATCCTCTCTGGGATGGGCTCTGGCCAGCAGCTCTTAAAGCTATAGCGCACCATAAACAAACACACAGCTGCACATAAAACAACAAGAGTTCACGGACACTCCTCGGCCTCGGCCCAGCCTCACATCAAATACTTAGAACCTCAGTTTTAGGATGGAGGTCGCTGCTGTTTAACCCTGAGAACCCAAAAACCCGTCTGAAGGTTTGAAAAGCATGCTTTGTGTTTAATTAGTCTGAAACGGCACAAAGAGAAGGAACGACTCCGACATCTGGACGGAAGAAAAATAATAATAAAAAAAATGTAAAATCACTTGAGGAAACATTTTTCATTTAAATATTTTTAAAAAACGAACTTTTACCAGAAACAGGATCCTGTTCAAATAAAAACTCTGCCTTCCTGAGATAAACCGACCCGTCCTGAGATAAACCGACCCGTCCCAACCCACAATGTCTGTTTGACTTTTCTGCAGAGAAGCTAATTAAAACCTGTACATTCAGAACTAAAGATGATATCAACAGTATGTGAAACCCTGTGTTGTCCTCCCAGCAGCCCCTCTGGCAGCTTGGACTGTTCTACCTGTTGATGTCAGATTATTATTTTATTTTAAATAATCACAAAAACATATCTTTTGTTTTGTCTTTTTTTTTTTATGGCATTGTCTTCGTGTCACATTTCACTGAGGACAGTTTTGGATTCTCTCTACTTCCAGCCATGACAGCCGTTTCTATCGACACGCTAACTTCACGCTGGAAGACGTGAAGGAAGGAAAACAAGAAAAGCTCAGAGACTCCGAGGCGTTCAGAGGGTTAAACGATGCATCATGTTGGGGAAGGAAAAGTGTGTATTTCACTTTTTTCTGCCATAAATTAGGCGCTAAAGTCGCTCCTGCCTGGAGACCAAACATGAAGCTCCAGCCAGCAGCAGCTAACCCGTATGTCCAGTTCACTAATTCTCTGTTTCAACTTCAGAACGGCACCGGTCCAGCTCTAACAGCAGAAGGGGTTATTTCTACAGCAGCCGGCTAAGGTGGCTTACTCCTGTAAGAGAAAAAGAACAATGTGGGGTTTACGGGTAGCTGCTGAAGGCTTTCTCTTGACAAGCCACAGTGTTTTGATCCAGCCATGTGTGCAGCATCTCTGGCTCCAGGACATGCTGCCGGATCCAGTTGGTGAGCACAAGTTTCTGCTTTCTGTCTCCCAGTCAAGCCTGGTAGTCACAACAGGCGAAGCCCCGGCGGCTGTTCACGGACAAACGCTGATAGAACCCCCTCAGAACGTTCTCCTGCACTAATTAAACATGAGAGATGTGTGTTAATTAGTCAGCACAGGAGATGACGCCCTTCTAGAGGTCGGGGTCGGAGCAGCTGCTGGAGCATCTACAGCACCATGAACAAGGACACTTGAGCCGGGTGGAGCGCCGCCAACACGGGGGCTTGAACCCAGAGCTCGGTCCCCCATTAGAACGTGGCCTCTCTGCATCTTCTCTCCTGTCTCTGGGCTTCTGCTGTTCGGTGAGGAGGAGGCAGAGGTTGTCTGAGGCGGTGAGGACGGTGCATGAGAAGCAGAGTGAGCGCTCTGAATAGAGGCTCAGAAAGGAAAGTGAGTTTCCTTGTTCTTCTGACTCAGACTCCAGCTGCTGCAGACCTCTGTCATATCCCATTACCTCTTTGTTTGGCTTCACACACTATTTTTTCTACATCTCTCTCTCGGTGTGCGTTCCCGTCCTTAGATCATCCCTCTGCTCGTCCTGTCTGTTACGCCTGAACATCGCCGACACGTGTTTGAGCGTCTCGCGGTAAAAGAGAAAAACTTGTGCAGTGATGTTCAGGAAACACGGAAAAGCTTTTACAAGGCAGAATAAAATGTCAAAAGGCAATAAAACGGTCAAAGACATTAACCGCACCAGGGAGTGTTGTCATGAGGAAAGCTTTTTATGTTCCAACTGATTATCAGCACAGAACAAAGAAATGTTTTCTTAAATTGCAAAGTAATTATGTATTAAAAAGAAAATCACAAAAAAACTAAAGTATTCATCCATTAACCAGGCGTGGGCATTCAGATGACATAAATTGTTGGTTTCTTTATTTCCTGTCAAAGCAGCGCAGTAATTAAAGCGAGGTTATTCTCATTCTGGAAATCATTAAGACAACAGCACAGGAGAGGCTTCCTGCCACGCTGTTTTCTGAGAAGTCAGAAGAAAGGAAAGAAAAAAGAAAACCAATGTTTTTATCCACATGAGGCGCAGAACAGAACAAAATGTCTTCAGTAAACCAGAACACATGAAACCCTGCTGCCCGGTCCAGGAGGAGTCCAGCTTCACTTGCTCATCTTTCACACGTTGTTTACATGTTGACAGAACCATAAGTCAGCCAAAAAAAGACCGTTTTTAAGGTGAAATGTCAAACACACACAATCCCTGATGGTCCAGTTCAGACCCGTCTGTGGGCATCTGAACCACAGTCTGCTCATCCTTCACTGCCATGACCTGTCCTGGACCTCTATGGCAGGAAGGAGGAATGTCTTCTGTGCATACTGCAAAGTTACAGCACCATCAAAAATAAAAATAAATCTTGGACTAATTCTTATCAACATAGAAAAACATGGACTCCACATGCACACAGCAGGCGCCTGCAGACGGTACCAACACCAGAACACGGGTCACTGTGTTCAGCAGCACGACTTTCCTACCCGACTACCAGAAAGACTTTTCAGTGGAAACGTAACAGTTTGTTGTTCTGTTTATGTACCTTCATCGTTCACGCGGCAGCAGACGGACTTAAAGTCGCTTCATTTGTCTGATCAGAACAAGCAGCCTGTTAGAAACACATGGAGCTTCAAGGATCACCTGTCAGTCAGAAGTCACCTGGTCCTGCAGCTCAAAGAGGAGGCGCACCTCAAAAGCAGCTCTCTCATAGGTCAGATGAGTAGGCGTGGCTGTAGATCTGATTGGCTGATAGTCGTGTGATGAACCTGGTGGTAATTAAGGTAAATGCAGAGTGAAGCACAGGTGTGTTGGTCATGCTGAATGGTCAGTACTGATGACCCAGTGTGTGTCCGTCCACTGAGACGTTTTGGTTGGAGTATTTTTATAAAGTCTTGTGTAGCTGTTGTTGACTTGGTCCTACTGGAGCTCTGATTGGTTGGTTTGAACTGAAGGACGGCCCCCTGTCCTTCAGACAGAGGAAGTGCAGCGCCGCAGGCTTCACCAGTCTGCTAGAGCGACTTTGTTCGAGTCACTTAGACGTCGGCCATGCGCGTGATATCGAGTCATTCACACGAGACCAGACGATACACACAGTAAATCAGGACCAGGAGGATGGCTGAGAGAGAACATGTTCACCTGCAGCTGCTAGACTGTGACGCTGTGTGGCTGCTCACCTGTGTGGCTGCTCACCTGTGTGGCTGCTCACCTGTGTGGCTGCTCACCTGTCTGAGGTGTGTGACCTGCTCTGACTTCCTGGTCGGCCTCTCTCCGTGTTGAGGACAGTTAAACTGGGTGTGTAAATGCACACAGCTCTCTCTCTGGAGACACTTGTGGCTCCTGCTGCTGTCTGATGCTCCAGATATGCAGCGAACTACAAAGTAATAGTCCAACCCGGCTGGAAGTAAACCCGGTCCTGTGTGGGAGCTCACCTGTCTGATGTGAGGAGGCCTACGCACTGTGACCCGCTGTCGGATACTGCTTCGGTCTGATCCACTTTTTGCTTCTGCTCTCTCAGGGATGAGAGTTTCTAGAAGTCGTGGACACTGTTGGACTACTTGTGCACATGTGTGGAGCCCCGTATGGACCCAACTGCTGCAGGTGTTCCACCTGCTGAGGGGGAATCATCCTGAACTACTGGGAGGAACAAACTTCATCTTATGGGAGGAACACGACTCGGATCCCAGTCATCACTGGTGAGTGCCATTAATTAATAATAATGTTTCAGCTGTTTTTATCGAAGGTTTTATTTTTATGGACATTTCATTTAGTAGATTCATAGATGTGAAGTTGTGAAGCAAAGTGAACGAGAACGGTGGTTCTGGCTCACTAGCCGGTTACTAAGCCTCTCTGTGATGTTTTCTGGACAAATATTTGGGCTGAAATGTGGAGAAATCCTTCCCTTAATCACTTAACACAGCCAACATATTAATTTGGTGATTAACGGAGCGGGGTGCATGTCTGAAAGGGGCTTAGGAGGACACTGGGAGAGCAGTGGAGGACATGTGACTGCTGGTGGCAGCTGGATCACTAATGGTTTCCATTTGAGCCACAGAGTGGACATGTTCAGTGCTTCTACAGCATCTGGATGGAGGCAGCGGTTTGTGTTGTTTTAAATGAGACGCAGGATGAAGTGATTCTGATGAAACATCTTGATTTGAGGCTTCGATCCGGGATGTGTTCTGACAGAACGGCACAGATGAGGAGTTCAAGGACTTCTGGAAAGTTGAAAATCCTGGGATTTCCTTCTACAGCAGCTGACTGGGATAAATTGTGTGACTCTGGGGATATTTTTGTGAGACATTGTGCCTTGTTTTAGCCACTGATGGGTTCTGAGCTTCATGGGGTGAAGAACCGTCTAAGCTGTGATCATAGGTCTGACTGGTTGTGTTGGTGAGCTGGAGGTTTAATGCCGTTTCCAACCCTTCTGTGTGGCTCTTTAAA